TATTTTTGATCAGGTTTGATGTTATATTTCGTTTTTATAGCTCGTTAGAAAATAGGCAATCAAAGCATCGTCTATGTTGTGATTCAGCCAATTTTGTTGCGAGTCTGGCTTTTTTTCTTACCTCACTTAAGCTTTCAATATTTATTTTGTTTTTTCTCATTTTCATGATCTTTAATTCTATAAAATGTCTATTCAATTGCACAAAGATGGAGAATTTCGCAATATTGATGCAAATTATTTTGATATTTCAATTTTAGACAGTGTCAGATTTTTTTTAATGTTCTATTTTAGAACTATTTGCAATTTAATGATTCTGACAAGGACTGAAAAGGAATCATTAAACAAGCAGTATATTTTTTAAATGCCATTAATAATAATTGTCTTTATAATTGCCAGAAAGCATTAAAAATACACTTTCTCAACAACAAAAATTAAAAAAATAAATAAATAACTATTTTTCATCTAATTGGTGTTCATTCTTCATGAAGAAAAAACTACATTTCCTGTCTTCAAATATACATGTACCAATCTATGTACATAATGCTGATATATTTCCAATAACTGCTAAATAGCAATATAATTGGGAATAAACAAATAAACTTTATTGCCAAAAATGCTTATGTAAGAGTTATGCAATTTGTTTATTGTTTCAACCAAATTACTAATAATAGTAAATTAAATATACCTTAATTATTGACTTATGCCAGATGACTATGACACTGTTTTTACAAGTGAAATAAATTCTGCTTGCATTTTTTATGCATATTGTATTATTTTTCTTTTCTTTGAAGAGAAAAACACATCTTATTAATCATTCAGCTTTTACACAAAATTAACAGAATAATTAAATGTAGTGTTGATCGAATAAATAATAGGTTTACTATTGAGGTCAAGAATTTGTGTAATCAGTTAGATGTCTAATACATTGTATATACAATTATGTAACATAATATGCACAGGTGGTATTAACAGTTGTCAATTAAGACTGCATTAGAGTGGTGTTCTTACACCTTTAAGTGTAAAAAGTAAAATACCAAAAATACCGAACTCCGAGGAAAATTCAAAACGGAAAGTCCCTAATCAAATGGCAAAATCAAAAGCTCAAACACATCAAACGAATGGATAACAACTGTCATATTCCTGACTTGGTACAGGCATTTTCTATGTAGAAAATGATGGATTAAACCTGGTTTTATAGCTAGCTAAACCTCTCACTTGTATGACAGTCGCATAATTGTATGAAAATTATGACAGTTGATAATCATACTTGAACTATATCAGGAAAGAATTGCAATAATAGCATTTCAAAAAAGTGTGGAATTCAACTCTTATATCGATACACATCTTGTACCAAATTTTATTCAATAACTTACACAAACATAAGAGATACTGATAACATAGTTTCATAATTTTTCTTATAAACTGCTTAAATTTGATACATCACTTGTTCACATTAACAAATAATAGGCAAATTGATATACACTTATAAAGGAAAAATATGCAAGTGTATATCTAAAAAAAAGTAGCTGTTTGACCAACCTTTTCTTAATTTAAGGGCAAATAAAATGTCAAAAATTGATTAAAATAGTGTAATTTCCACAAGTCATAAAAACACATAATGAGTTTCATGATATGTCATCAACTTAAAATACTGCACCATCTCAAAATCCGGCGGAATTATCTTATAGATCCAGCATGGCTTAATAAGAAATACTACTTAACCGTCAACAATGGTCATTTGAAGGCAAACACTCCTAAAAATTGTCGTCTCATAGTTTCGGTAATCAATGTGTTCTTGTTAATTCTATATTTTATTATTAATTTGGCCTCTTCTATAATCAAATGTTATTTTGGCTAAATTTAGAATTTTTTAAGAATATAGAAAACACTCGGTCAAATATGATCATTTTATGGCAATAACTCCTATAAGTTATCAATTCACTGACACTCATAATGGGGCAAGTTTTTTAAAATCTTTTTCTTGGGACCATTTTGTTTTCGTCATATCAATCAAAGTAATTGTTATTAGGCAAACAATACCCAACAATATCCGAAATATTAATTTAAAAGCAAAAACTTTTATATAAGTAGAGTTCTTATAATAATTGTAATATAAGGAAGAAGAACTATCTTCCAATTCATTACTAAATATATTGAAACTGTCAGTTATTCTATCTCATTATAGTTTGAAAAATATTCTGGTAGGATATGTATTTGCATTTCACATCATTATGTTCTAACTAAAGCGAAGTATACCTATTTCGATTATTTATCTGATTTTCTTTCCTCGGTTTTGGTTTGTGACCCGGATTTGTTTCGCTTAATCGATTTATGACTATTGAACAGTGTTATACTACTGTTGCCTTTATTCAAAACACATTCCATAATATTATATACATTTTTGTTATCTTAATTGTTTTTCTGAAGGTATGATTTCTACATATATAACTTTCGATATTCAGATGTAGTTCAAACTGCATTAAAAAATTCGTAAACACACGAAATACCATACAATTCAGACAACAGCAGACGTCATGTGAAGGCATAAACAAAAGACATGTTGACAAATAGATGCCCAAAATACAACACGAGCCCCGATGCTTCGAAACGGTGAAATGATGTTACTATACCAATGGCACCAGGCCCCCGACCACAATTAATGACCCCGCTTTTCGAATATAGTTCCTTGTTATTTTAGTGTCTTTTTTCTTCTTTTTTTTTTGTTCTCTGCCTTCCTAATTCATTTCTTAGTTTTTATAGGGTGGGAATGAAAGAAGAGAGTTGAAATAAATTTTAGATGCATTATTTTAACTATCCAGTAGTGGGAATGAGTGATTAGGTCAGTTGCAAAAGGTAACATTTATAGTTTTTGGAACATCTCTAACAGTATGGATGACCTGCACAGAAGGAATTCTTAAAAGTTGGATATAATGTGAGACTTGTACTGTACATTACACATACCAAAAATTTTGCAAATTTGCAGGTTAATTGTTTTTTAATGTGAAATGAAATGCTTCGCTGAGAGCAGCTGAATAAGACCGCAGAGGTCCAACCCTGAACAGTTGGGGCGAAAATGAACACAATATTCGCGCTTGATACAGGTCTGAATTAGGATTGTAATTAAATATTTGACACATAATAGGTTTCTGACACAGAATAACTGTATTCAAAGAACTTAGATTGGTTATATGATTTGAATTTATATTCTATTTTTTGCTTTTGTGCAATACACTATGATGTTGCATATTGACCCCCCCCCCCCCCCCCCCATAAAATGTTTACGCCCCCACCCTCCCCCCCCTTTTTTCCAAAAAAAAATAATATTTGAAATTTTTTTTTTTAATTTCTGAAATCCGAAATGAGAAAAGATTGCCCCCCCCCACCCCACAATTTCTTTTTACCCAACCCTCCCCCCAAATTTCTTTCACCCCCCTTTATTCCAAAAAAACATTCTTTCCCTCAAGATATGGTCATAATCTCAATTCAAATTTCCAATGGAGTTTGCAACATTAATTACCAATTTAAATACATCATAAAAGTCTTAAAATAGAAAATGACATACATAATCATGGCTAAAATTAATATTCCTTTAATAGTAACTTCTAAAAATAAATTGACAGCTAATCACCTCAAGACAATACAACATTTCTTTATACATAATTCAAAAGAAGTGTAAGGGAGGTAAATCCAAACATACACAACATTGTACTTTAAATGTGTTTGGATTAATACCTCCCTTAAACTGCTTTTAAATTGTCCATTAGCCAGGAAACCCTTGTTTTTCCCACTTTTTTGCCCCTAATTCCTAAACGGTTTGAGCCATAACCCCCCAAAACCAATCCTAACCATCCCTTTGTGGTATGGAAACTTGTGGTATAATTTCAGAGAGATCCATACACCGTTCCACAAGTTATTGTCTGGAAACTAGAAAAATGCTTATTTGGACCCCTTTTTGGCCCCTAATTCCTAAGCTGTTAAGACTATAACCCCAAAAATCAATCCCAACGTTCCTTTTGTGGTTATAAACCTTGTGTTTAAACTTCATAGATTTCTATTTATATTTACTAAAGTTCTTGTCCGGAAACCAAATGTCTTCGGACGACGACGACGACGTGATACCAATATACGACCGCAAAATTTTTGCGGTCGTATAAAAATAATTTAAAGAAATTAATGTTGGTCTGTGGCCTAAAATAGTGTTACTCCTCATTAAATACATTGAAGTGTCATATCTGGTATAAAAGCAACAAAAGAACTTAATCATTCAAATAGCAACCTTGACATAGTTGTTTTGAGTTAAAAGTAGATGTGCAATGAAACAATGTAGTCGATCTTTCAATTGGGCAATAGTAGTGGAAAGCGTATATAGATAATTAAAAGGTTTTTATTCTATTATAACTTGTAAAGATTGTGGTGAAGATTATTTTGAAATAGATATTTAAATTTTAAATAGTCCAAAAAAGAGACCGCTACTTGATAACACCTCATAACAATATTTCTGAATGCCATCTTTTACTGATGAAGTGATGTTGCATACCAAACACTTTAACGAGATGTTTAATTGAATCAGCAATTTATCGTTCTTTATAGAGGATTTTTGTAAACTTAAGGTATCAAGTATATTGATTGGAGATTTTTATCCTCCTTTATCATATAACTATCATAGTAGAGAATTACGTGAGTGATTCAGTTTTTTTTAAACGCCTTTATCGTGTTTATTATTGGTTGAAACGGAAATCCCAAGGATGTTGATATAGGTAAACGTGAAAATTGGCATCTGATACAATGCAGAGGTAATATGTGTCATTTTCGTATTTTTTTCTATTGTAGTATTGCATCCTTATTGGTTTTGTAAATCATCTCGTTTAGTTTTTTCTACTTTTAACTTTTGATCATGTTGCCATATAGATTGTTGTAAATAAATGAAGAAGACCAGAATTATAGTAGCTATCCAAACAGCACGAACAAACCTAAAATATGACTTATGAAACTTAGCCTACCTTTAGACTGACGGAGTTCATGGCTCTATTATTGTTTGCTGAGTTGTCTATAAACAAACTTTTGCCATCTGTAAATATGAAATAAAAATTTGATTTGTTATTAATAAATAAGGACATTACAAAATATACAATACTTATTGTTTAAATCATATCGATACTTATATTTTATACTACCACATTATTTGGTTATATAGCTCTTCAGTTGTTTAGGTTTTTATACAACCTTGGCTTTCAAATATTCGGCTTTGGGCGTTCCTGATGAAGGTAAATAAAAAAAGAGCTTCGGACGCGTGGAATTTACAACGTGTTGTTTTTATTTTATACTAGTTCATGTTTTCTCACTATGTCTATGACGTCTTTATACTCGTTCAAGTTTCGTGTACTGAAAAAAAAAAAAAAGAAAAGTAAAATAACAAAAATACCGAACTCCGAGGAAAATTCAAAACGGAAAGTCCCAAAACAAATGGCAAAATCAAAAGCTCAAACACACCAAACGAATGTATAACAACTGTCATATTCCTGACTTGGTACAGGCATTTTCTATGTAGAAAATGATGGATTAAACTTGGTTTTATAGCTAGCTAAACCTCTCACTTGTATGACAGTCGCATAATTGTATGAAAATTATGACAGTTGATAATCATACTTGAATTATATCAGGAAAGAATTGCAATAATAGCATTTCAAAAAAGTGTGGAATTCAACTCTTATATCAATACACATCTTGAACCAAATTTTATTCAATAACTTACACAAACATAAGAGATACTGATAACATAGTTTCATAATTTTTCTTATAAACTGCTTGAATTTGATACATCACTTGTTCACATTAATAAATAAATGGCAAATTGATATACACTTTGCTTTATAATTTATAACTCATAGTCGTAGTCAAAGGTTGTATAGTGGCTTATAATTACTTTCATCCACACATTTGGTATTGGTTGGATAATTGTCTCAATAGCAATTTGACCACATCTCCTTATTTTTATATTTTTTTTCCATATTTATATCAGCTCCCATATTGTGAACTTTTTATGTAGTAAAATTCCAACAACGCCTGTATATATAAGTTATATCTAAGATGTTACAGAGCTTGCATTTCATTTCATGATTTCCTAGATAAAGATTTATTGGAACTGCTTTAAAGAACTCATGCAATATTACATAGTTAAGGTGTTCAATATATGAAATGAATACATTGTGTTCGTTATGTGAATCTCCTTAGCAATTAACATATAGAGTAGCATTTTCCTTGAACTCGTCTAACATGGTTTTAGTCAGCAGCAATAGCTGGTGTGATTACACATAGTATTTGTCAAGAATTGTCCTAATACCCACATTTCAGCATGAAATACACAGTTTAAAATATAACTAAAAGTATCAGTGAAACATTTGATTGTGATATTGAAATCACTGGTGTCAAAAAATATTCATGGCATGATACATTTACATAAACATATTGTTAGCTGATAAAAAGGATGTACAGGGAATATTTCAACAGATTAACATATTGTATGTGTCAATGTTCAAAACATCAAATAATAAATATATCTCTCATTATAAAATGTCGATCACATAAAACAGGGAAACGCAAGAGCACTGATAGTATTTTAAAAGCAAAGAGAACCAACAATTACAAAAGGCTAATCAAACAAAATTATGTCAAACATAACTTGCATTTGATATCATAAGATCATGTGATCAAAGAGATATCTTTAAAACTGTATCTCGAGATAGAAATTTACCAGTCTGCAAAATAAAGCATATTACAGAAAAGTTTTTATCATTTAAATGCTCATTCAAAGTAGTTCATACTCAGGAGACAGGCTACATAAACACAAGCTTTAGTGGGCTTTTCAAATCGATCACGTAACAATGTATCAACAAACAAGTAATTAATAGTGAGACCAGGAATATCGACTAAAAATTGAAAAAAATCATAGCTTTAAATAATGTTTTAGAAAACTGATTGCCAGATGAAGTGTATTAAAAAAAAAGCAGTTAAAACAAGACAATTAGAAAGTAGCAATAGTAGTATAGAGGCACAGTTCAGTTATAAGTATTTGTGAGGATGAAAAGCGGTATGAAGTTGTGTAATTTTTCAGCAAATCGTCAAACTTGGCACAAGAGTTAAGGTAAATACATAAATAATAAATAAGCTTTATTTAGAGTCAGCATAGTATACAAACAAGGACATAACATAAGCTCTATTGAGCTTTTTACCGACAAACAAGACATAACAATTCATTACATGAAACGCATGCAATGAGTTACATAACACAAAATGAAGCATTATAATTAAGCATGGTGGCAATAAGCAGACAATAATCATAATTATCATGATACGCCAGGTATTAAAGCTAAATGAATATAAAATGTAAGCTTAGCATGATTATATATATATATATTAGAAAGCTGGTAAAACGCCTTCAAACTAGTTTAACCCCGCCACATTCTGTATTTGCCTAACCCAAGTCAGGAGCCTGTAATTCAGTGGTTGTCGTTTGTTGCTATGTTACATATTTGTTTTTCGTTCATTATTTTGTACCTAAACTAGGCCGTTAGTTTTCTAGTTTAAATTGATTTACATTTGCCATTTCGGGGCCTTTTATAGCTGACTATGCGGTATGGGCTTTGATCATTGTTGAAGGCCGTACGGTGACCTATAGTTGTTAATTGCTGTGTCATTTGGTCTCTTGTGGAGAGTTGTATTATTGGCGATTATACCACATCTTCTTTTTATATAGCATAATATAATTATTAAAAATAGGATTTAAATGATAAAAATTTAACATAGTATAATAATTAATTATTTGTACAAACTGTGCACTTACAGTCGTCATTTCCATTCCATGACTTTAACAATTTTTGAAGCTGACTGAAATTAGCAATTCCTCTAAATTCATCAGGTAGATCATTCCATAAAACAGCAGCTGTATATTTAAGAGAGTTCTTACCATAGGTCAATTTTCGAACCCTAGGTATATCTACAATATTAGAATATCAAAAATTATGTTTACAATCTTTCAGTTCAACTAAATCATGTACCCATGGTAGTGATAATTTATGAAACATTCAATAGCCATGTTACGCATACGTCTAATTTCCAGTGATGAAACCTTTGCTCGTACAAGTACTTCATCATATGAACTAACGTAGACTTCATATTTAAGTCCTTTCCTGAATTTTTTTCTTGGTGGTATTATTTTTGTTGCAAAAATGCCATGCCAAAGGACATAACTTAAAATTTGATAAAATAAATGTGTGAAAAATGGCAAATTCATTTCATCATAGTAAGATATCATCCAATGCACTTCAAAACATTCAGTTGTTGAGACGCTTTACGACAAATATTTTTAATGTAGTGATTAAAATTACGTTGATAATCAATATCAATACCCAAACGTTTGACAATTTCATCGCATGCTATTTTAGCTGACTGTATATGAAAAACAGGCTTCTTTGCAAATGTTTTATTTCCAACTGCAATGGGTTGGAATTTATCAGGATGTGCCTGCATACAATGAAATTCAAACCAATCGATTAAAACAGGACTTTCTCTTTCAGGTATACATAATAAATGTTCAAAACGTTGTCAGCATATTACAGAGTATTATTGTCAGCATACTTATATAGGGTTCCATGTTGTATAAAAAAGAATATGTCATTTATACAAATATCAAATAATAGAGGTCCGAGGATTGAACCTTGAGGTACCCCTATCTGGATGTCAGCCCAACTGCTGAATACTCCCCGAAGTTTGATTTCTTGTCTACGGTCTGAAAGATAATTTTGAAGTAATTTCACTGATTTTGAAGAAAGACCATAAACAGATAATTTACTTAAAAGAATGTCATTTGGTATACAGTCAAATGGATTCGCATGATCCATGAGTATTGCTGCCACATACTTATTTTTATCCAGAGCTGTTGTTCAGTCATCAAGGAGTATCAGCGAAGTTGTCTGACATCCATGACCTTTTCTAAATGCACATATAAAAGCATAAAATATATTTAAAAACAAAATTTTAACTGTAGCTTTTTTCATATTGATATTTTCACCAGTTTGTCTACAGTATCAACATGCAAAGGTTTAAAATCAAAAAGTTTATCATGTTGTATGTTAGCCTTGATTTTCAAAATACTAGGGTGTGTTTTTTCTTCAAAAATGACTATTCTTTCTTTAAGGTCAGCATCATCATGTTCTGTTCAAAACGGATACGTTAAAATTCAGGAGGGAATAATTTTTTAATGTTAAAAAAGGGATATATCTGTGTTTTTCTGTTTTCTTTTTAATGAAACTATTTTCCTATTTTTGAGGTCTCACAAGAGCTCCGCTTTTTTTAATGGGTTTTAGCTGCTCTTGTCGCGCTAAACTCACTCTACTGGTGATTATGGTGATTTTGATGCTGCTGTTTCTAGAAAGTTAGTTGTTGCTTGAATAATTTATCATTCATCAAAAGTTTTTTCCAGTCTTCTTTTAGGTCTAAAAGTGCTGTTTTGCAACCCTAGACCAATGTAACGTGTTTTGGCGTATTAATGAACTAAGTGTTGGTATCCATTTTAACGTAATCTGAGATTCTTCAATATCAATCTTAACTATAATTCCAAACCTTAGTACAATTTGATTTTTTACAAATTACGCGTCAAACATTAGAACTGTGCATCAAAATGACAATGAAGTAACATTTTTTTTCTTTGAACTCTTAAGTCAAAAATTTTTCTTCAATTTATCTTCAACCCTTTACGAAAATTACGGGGTCCCAACTTTTTTGTCAAAATATATAAAACGAGATTCTGTATCGGTGTTCTTGTATACAAATCCAAGTAGCTTCTATTCCAAATGACAGGCCCCATAGAGGACATTTCAGTTATTATAAATCACAAAGATATAACAAAATAACATAAAACCTACAACAAACCTTTAACATTCTTATTGATAAGTTACTTTAACAAAACAAAAACAAAAAAACCATATGAAATACACAACCATTTAAAGGAAAAGAAAGCAAGTTTTATAAAGAGGAATAACTCGTAGTCAGCAGAACAAACTACATTTGTAGACAGCTTTGTTATACCTTAAGAATATTTACCAAACTTAAGATTAGGTTTTTCAAATTCTCAATCTTAAAATATCTCAAAACAAGAAAGTTTTTTTTTTCCTTTATGTGTTTTGTTAATTACAACCCAATAATTTTTCCACCAACACAAAACGATGGATTTAATCTAAATCATATGAAGAAATGTTTTAATAGACGTATTTTCACTTTTCATATCTCTGTATATCTAAACACAGACATTCATTCCTTCTGGAATAACTGTCTCTATGCCTTATTAAATTTCCAAGTATTTTCTTTACCTAAATATTTATATTGAAACATTCTTTATAATAAGATACAATAAGGAAAGTGGTATCCTGTCTTACTCTTATTAAAGATTATAACTTTTTTCTTCTTTTTTAGTGTTAACCTCAAGGCACCACTCTCTATAATAATCATTAAAATATTCAGCTTTTTTCTGAAGACCCTCCTTAATTTGTGTCAGATAATAATACAAGATCCTCTGCATACATGAGACATGGGTATTTTTCAATATTTATATTAACACTATCGGATTTCACTAAAAAATCTGAGGTTACGTACACCATTTATGAAAACTTTGAAAAGATCTGGGCTTAATCGCCTTGTGTCACACCAACATCTGATGTAAAAAAAAAGAACTCTGTCATTTTATTATATACTCTTATACATTTGTATACAAGGATTTCAAGACTATTCAAATAACCATTACTATCATTAATTTGTAATTTGTATAATACACCAACATGTATTACCTATCGAAGGCATAACGAAAGTCCACACAACAAGCATATGACATTTTACTACCAGATTTTAGATAATTGTCTATCATACATCTTTATACAAATAAAATGCTCCTCTCGGTGTAGCTTAATACGACCGATAAGGTCGAACACTTAACAGTTTGGGCAAGTGTGGACACTACATTCAAGCTTGATAAAGCTCTGAATTTGGATTGTGATAAAATATTTGACACAACATAGGTTTCTGACACATGAATGCGATCAAAGAACTGAAAAATTTGAAATTGGACTTTTACCTTTTATGGTCCAATATCCAAAATCTAAATACACGGTTAGATTCAGCATATCCTAGTGCATCAGCAATTTAATTTATCTATTTATTGATGGACACTATAAGCTTAGTTTTTAAAGGGTTCCCCTACATAAAATATATATATATATATATATATATATATGTGTTTTCAGCCGTGTATCAACTTCACTGGTGATCCAATGGATGGAGCTGCGTAGAGTTGTCATTTGTTTAGACATACTTACGATCCTTTACGAAAGATATTTAGCTATTCTGCAATATATTCCATCTTTGTGCCTAATATTTCATGTACTGTGTTACAACTCTAGATTCTACCGACGAGGAAAGGTAACACTAGGCCACCGAAAGCTGAATTATTAGTTCAGTCTAGGTGGCCGTGTGGTCTAGAGCGCTGGACACAGTGCGGGCGGTGTTGTCTCGATATTCCAGTAGCATGAGTTTGATTCCCGGCGAGGGAAGAATAAAAATTTGCTTCCACAAATTTGCAGATTTAACATTGTTGTGCTGATATTTTGAGTAATTAATTATCCATTGTTTCTGGAACACTAGATAAATTTAATATTCGGCTAAATAACCATCGTTTATGGTACAAAACCAACAAAAAACTGTCCTTTCACAAGACATCTTCGCTCAAAGAAACATTCTTTTGAAAATGTTACTTTCCAAATCATACCGACACACCGAGTGGGACAACACGGCGAGAAGGATAAGAAAAAACTTTTGGATCCACCAGCTCCACACTTTAGAACCTGATGGTCTTAATGTAAAAGACGAGAAAAGATACAGGAAAGATACAGAATAATTAGTACACAGCATCGTCCTTTTTATCCTGTAATATTGGCCAATGGACGTTGTAAACTTATAAATAATCTTGAACTTCATCCAAATTTTGAATTCTTTACAAAATAGCTAAATTTATGTACAATGATCTGCAAAAGTTTCTTATCTACATCCGATTTCACCTGGATAGATGCACGCTTGATGAAGCTAGTTTGTCTAGCGAAATATTGCGTTTATTTTTTATCGCGTTGTAAATATTTAAAACATTCAAATATTTACATACTCAATAGTGTGTTAATATTACATTGTTAGGCAATTTATAATTTCATTTGTGTAATTGAATTAATCTTTGTACTGATTAATCCACATTCAAATAGATTCGTATGTTATGTGTTGCTATTTATAGGCACTTATATAAATATATAAGTACGTCTGAACTAGTGACAACTCTACGACAGATTTTATCCATCGGATCACCAGTGATGGTGATACAAGGCTGAAAACACACATATATTTATATATATCCGGATGCGGGATTTTCTCGCTATGTTGAAGACCTATTGGTGGCCTTAGGCTGTTTTCTGCTCTTTGGTCGGGTTGTTGGCTCTTTGACACATTCCCCATTTCCATTCTTAATTTTATCTATATTTATATTTACAGCATTCTGCAAATCAACAGAATAACAAACAAATCTACCACGAACTTCATTAAAAACATTTACAAAGAAAAATGAAAAAATACAATTTCCAAAATATCCTTCATAATTAATGCAATGTCTTTAAAAGTGAGGCGAAAGATACCAGAGGGACATTCAAACTCATAAGTCGAAAATAAACTAACAACGCCATGGCTAAAAAAGAAAAAGACAAACAGACAAACAAAACGCAACATAGAAAACTAAAGACTGAGCAACACTACCCCACCAAAAACGGGGGTAATATATGGTGCTCCGGAAGGGTAAGCAGATCCTGATTTAAAAAATCTATAAAACTTACCTTTGATTATTTTCAAAGTATCTAATAATGAAGGAAATGAACTGTAAATTTCAAACTATATTCATACATCATTTCTAAA